AAATGAAATTATGAAATTATAAGGGCTGGAAATATACAAATAGAAATAAACAAAGAAATTCAAAAAAATTGATGAAATAACAGACAGAATTAACAATATCAATACTAGAAATGCAATTGATTATGAAGTGGTCACTCTACTCATGGCACGAAGAAATAGAATAGTTATTGATAATTTAAAAAACATGTTGTATGGTGTAGCCTTAGCAAAATGTAATATTGTAAGCCCACTAATTTTAAATACAGAAGAAATCAGTTTGATAGAATTTAAGGAAAACACACTTGTTTCCATGTCCGATATTATTACAATTTCAGATGTAAAAATTTATTACCAAAACGATGCACTGATTTATCTTGTAAAAATTCCTCAAATAACAAAAATTTGCAAATTATATCAAATAAGCCCTCTGGCTCAAAATAACAAAATGTTGTATTTAAAGAATAATTTAACTGATAATTGTAAGGGAAACCAATATCCATTAGAAAATTGCAGAAAATCTGTAGGATATAACTATTGTAGTATTAATATGCAAGATGTTTGCCTTTTACAACTTCTAAACAACCATACAGCAAATTGTCCCACTACGGCGGCGGACCACTTAGAAGAGATTGAAGTAATTAGAGACGGATTAATCATCGCACGCAGCAGTAGGCTAGACATCGAAGAAAATGGAGAATTGATTAGAGCTAATGGAACCCTGTTAATTACATTTGAAAAATCTCTTACGATAAATGGAGAGAAATTCAAAGCAAATCATCAGATCGATATTATTGAGCTCCTAGCTCCTAAGAAAACTATTTTAAATGAGACAAGTCAACAAAAACACCTATCATTGCCATTCCTTCATAAACTGCATATTCGAAATAACGAGCGAATGGAAGAGATAAAAGTCGTTCTTGAAAATAGCAAATGGATGTGGTATGGCGTAATTGCAATACTCACAGCAATCATAATAGTAATATTGTATATGAAGTTAAAGCCCAGAATTATCAAAATAAAAACTGACACTGACCAGCCTCAACATAGTTTGTCAACGATGAACATTGCCAAAAGCAGAGAAGATTTTAGAGCCCGCTTGGAAGCAATTGTGGCTGAGGGCAACCACATTTGAGGGGGAGGGTAGTTAACATATGTAGTGGAATGTGCCACTTGACACCAGCAACAATAGCAGCAGCAGCAAATGTACAAACGTGGGAACGAATGCATGTACGTGACTAAATGTGAATACAAATGCAGCGTCAACAATTTAGCTTTAAGAAATTAGAAAATAAGAAATAGAATTAAGAGGTAGCATAGGTAGATTAGAATATGAATATTAAAATAAAGCCAGTCTTGATTTGACAACCAAAAATATCTTACATACATATCGTCGATGTTTTTGCAAAACCGCCGATCGACCAGTTGCAAAATCGCCTAAATAGCCATTGTGACAAAAACGAGATTTGGTAACCCCGAACTCCAGGCAGCGAGATTTATATATAAGAATCGTTAAATCGTTACTAAAACCAGAGATTTGTAAAATAATAGCTAGAGAAAATACCGCCTATCAAGGCCAGTGTTGCCAGAACTTGTTGGACGAACCGGCTAAATTGGCAAATAAAAGCAGCTAAAAACGGCTAAAATGTTTCAACAAAATTTCACAAGTTTTACTTAAATAAATCACGAGTAAAAAGACTATTTCTTGGAGAGAA